AAGCCAATTGATAATCTTAAACCTTGTGTTAAATATGCAGAGCTGTCGTTGAGGGCTGAGGTGCATATTTCTGTTACAGGGCGAGGTCAAGATGAAATTCAGGAAATTTGTGAACCTAGGTTGATTTTCAATTTGCTTTGTCTCCAAGCCCTTAGAATTAACCTATATTACATATGTACTTTAAATGCCTTACTTCCATCTGTCATTCTGTCATACGCAAAAAATAATTCAACATACTGTTTTTCTTTTTAATTTTACTTTATTTACACGAAAAAAAAAAGAAAAAAGGGGAACTTCCATCAATGGTCCCAAAAAATTCACCTTGATCTGAATCTGTCATTATTTCCTCTCTTCCGACTTAATACAATACTCGTCACAAATCGTTGAAACAGAAGCCATTTGTCTTGAATTTTCTCCAAATTTCTTATATTCATTCCAGACACCTTCGTTTTCACTCAAATGTGCCCCTCTCCTTCCCCAATGTTGAGCCACGCATATTTTGGAGCACTGAGACGACTCTAATACCCAAATCAACATTGGGGAAGGAGAAAATCACACAAGTGTTTCAAGATTTGTGACGAGTATTGTAGGTTGATTTGCAATTTGCTTTGTTTCCAAGCCCTGATTATTTATGAATTAGGACTAGGAGACAAAGGAAATTTAGAATCAACCTAGGTTCAAACATTTAACTTGAATTTTAAATTTGACCTGTAACATTTCCACCAGCTTCTATGGGAATGGCTCACCACTTCTTCCATAGGAAATCTAAGAGAAATAGAACCAAAAGAACCTCCAAGCTGTGCAAGTCCCCAACTACTGATTGCATAGACTGTAAATCCTCTATAAGCCTCTCTTGGGCTTATTTCAAGCACATTTTAAGAAGGGTTGTTGGAGGGGGGGGGGGGGCTTAATTAAAGTCAGCGAAGTTGAGGGTACAAGTTTTCCTTAAAAAACAAAAGCGGGAAGGGGGGGAATAAAACACCAGGGGTTTTCTTTGTTTCTCCTTTTTTGTTTTTTTCCCATGAAAGTGTTCGAGGCCCAATTCTTTATTAGCCAGGG